ACTGTCTGAATATCTCAATGCTTCCCCTTGCCCTGTACTTCTGGCCACCTCTCTTGCGCCTTCTGGGAAGCGTAGTGGAGAAAAGTCCCTGATTTGAATAGGGAAGGGAAACCCAAAGTCTGGGGAAAAGCAAATGAGACTGGGAGGCAGATGAGACTGCAAGCTGCAGGGAAACGCCAGGTCTGGTTTGCAAAGGGGCTATTGCGTGAGAGCTGCTGGGGTGACTAGGGATAGCTGACCAGGAAAACCGGGAGCAGGAAGCAAGGCTGGCTGGGGCAGTGAGATGGGAAATGGGAAGAGCAAAGGCATGGTGATTAGAGATGTGGAATGGGAAGAGCAGAGGAGGGGTGATTGTCAGCGCAATAGGAAGAGGGGATGGAAGGGATATGGACAGCACTCAGACTGTTTGCCTGGGGAGTGGGAGTTTCTGGTAACAGATGGGGACTGGTGATGGAGGGGAGTTCCCACCAACCGTCTACGCAGGAAGGTTTGGACTAGCGATAGGGAGCAGCTTGTGTGGAGGGGGACAGCATGTGGTGGGAAGGCTGCGGTTGACTGGCCAAGGACACACAGCTGAGCCAGACTGGTATGTCTGGGCAGGAGACTCAGCCTGGGCATACAGAAGGGGAAGAAACAGGGAAGGGCAGGTGAGGTGGACCTGGGAAGGGGCAGTGGCTGAGCCCAGAGCCTAGGGCTGTGTGACAAGCCTTAAGAAAGAAAACCAAAAATGGGAAAGCTTAGAGGGGACAAGGGAACAGGGAGGATGGCTATATCAGCTTGTGTTTCTCTGACCTTCTCTGAGACTTCTCCAGTGCCCTAACAAGGGTCTCCTCCCAAGTCTTCCTCACAAGCCTTACTGTTCCTGTACTGTTACCCTAAATGCCACCCAACAGCATGTCTCACCTCTTTCTAGTGCTGCTCCTTGCTGAGGACAACAAGCAATTGCTGCTCTCTATCAGAATACACATTTCTCATCACTGAGAAATGTCAGCACCAAGGCTGGCTGTGCAACTGCCCTTAAATGTCCTCATGCATATGAATTATGGTTGAGTCTTTAATTATGTGGCTACAGATTTATTTTCCACGGGACACCTGCAGCACACAGGTTAGATGGTGCTCTGGATGAGTCTGGGCTATGTCATGAAAAAGGCTCTTTGCAGGGACTCAGCATAATTTGGTTTTTTTGTTGTTTTTGTTGTTGTTGGGTTTTTTTCCCCAGAAAGTGTGAAGAAAAAGGAGTGACTCATTGTTGAGCCAGTTGTGTGTTGGCCTGGATCCCTGCCCTTGCTGCGGATTTCCTACCTGATGCTGAGCAAGTCACTCACAGCAATCTTTTCAGAGGTAGCTATTAGCTATGTTTTATTTATTTTGGCATTTTGCTTTGTTTTTAGCCTTGTGCTATCCTAGGATCCTGATGTCTCATTTGCAGGAGTATTTATTTCTCCCTCCTGCAATGGGAACTTGCACTCGACTCTAGAAAAGGCTTTAAAATGCAGAGCGTTCTGGCAAAGCACTCAGGTCACCATCCCCACCTTGCAGGCTGCATTTGACCTTCCCTCCGGGAGTGCTGGGTCTTCTCTAAAATGCTACTCTCTTGCTTGGTATGAGTATTGAAAAGACAAATCTATTATTATTTGGAAAGTACTGAGAAACTAGAGTGTATATTGTGAGAAGAAGACCCTATGTACATCAATCAATTTTTTTTGAGTGTGGGGGCTGCATATTCTGAATGAACTGTGAGTTAATGCTTTGAAGAACTCTGTCAGCCCTGTTGGATGTGTCAAGCCACAGGTACCTGCCTCCTCAGGTACCTTTGCTCTTGAATTGCAGGTGGCAATGCGTTTGTTCTCACTTCTCATCTTTTCTTGCTTTCACTGGCCTTGCAGAAGTAGAACTTCAGCACAGTGTCAAAGTTTTCTCTGTTCTTTCCCTGATTACTCACACTTCCCTAGCACAGGCAAGTCTCTCTGTGGCGAAGTGACTTTGGTCTTCAGAGCAGTACGTCCTTCTCCAGATAGTGGGTGAAATGGGATTCTGCTCACTGTGGATCAGGCAGAGCTGCCAAATGCGACCTGGCAGTTAGCTGAGGTCTGCTAGGTCACTGAAGCTCAGCTTTCCCACGAGTTTTACTAGGTACTATGAATATCATGTACCGTGATTCTGGAAGGCCACCCAGCCATAACACTGTGAATAAACAGAGCAACTTTAATCTTTCTTTTCCTTTCCTACCTGAGGAATGACATGGTGGGCAGTGGTGAGGCTGGCTGGGTGCACAGTGAGGTACAGCCGCCCTGGATACACCAGCCCACAAGACTCAGCTCAAGACACATTGCCATGGGTTCCCTCTACAGTGCTGCAGCTTGACTGCTGGGGACAGCTTAAGGACCTTCCCATGTGAATAGGCCAGCAGCCAAATGCAGCCCCATATAGCCCATCTTCGGCTTGCCTGCCTTCGGAAGCAGCACTCCCTGTATCATCTAGGGATGCTTTGACCATATCTGAACCCTGGGAAAAGTAGACATGAGGTGTCCCAGGTGCAGGTCCCCCAGTTGCTGAGCTAAGGGGCTTGGACTCTCTTCCGTGTTTTTACAAAGATTCCTTCCAGGCAAACCAGGGAGACAGGATGAGGTAAGGCCTACAGGGTTTTCATCCTGAGATAGGGTTCTGAGTGCAGCTGTGTCTCACTGCTGGGTCTGGGAGGTTAGACAGCCTTCCAGGTGCTGCTGTTCAAACAGAGTCTTAGTGTAAATCGGTTGTTGTATTGTGGTGCTTCATTAGGGCTAAACCTGAGGGGGTGTTCATCTTTGGAGAAGTGCACAGAGGAGAAAAGATGCATGTGACTGCAGCTGCACACCAGTTTAATTACTGGAGAGGAACAGAGATGACCCAGCACAGACTGTGAGCATGGATTCTGCTTGTCCCACAAATTTCTTCCCTCTCCAACCGAACCCCAACCTCTCTCTAGTTGCGGTCCTGCTGCTTGTGTTGTATATAACACTTCCCTTTTTCAGACACTGGGAAGGGAATTACCTGTTGCATCACTGGAGCACTGACATCCCTGACGCAGACAGGGTCCCCGCAGTACTGGCTGCTACACACATTGCCAAATCTGCAGCACCTGGACCAGGCTCCCTAATAAAAATTACTCTATAAGAAGAGGTGTAACTAGGCAATACTTGAAGAAAGGTGGGTGTTATTAGATCATGTGGTTAGCCAGCACTAAAAACTTGATTACAATTCAATTAAGGGAATGTTTCTAATTAAAGAGTTCTTATTTTAAGCTGTAAATGATTAAAATAAAGGTAACTGAAGTGTCCATATGCACACTCCAATTTCATCCCCCAGGACTGTATCTACATTTGGGATTCTTTCGAGTTCCCTCCCACTGCCTCAGCCAGCAACAGGGGGAGAGGTGGCATGGCCATTGTCCTCACAAACATTACACTTGCCTGCCAGTCAGTATCACCCCAAACTCTGCCCCCACCATCCATACTGAGAGCTGCCTCTCCTGGATTCTGATTCAGATCTATCCTTCTGGGCTCTCTGTCAGAGCTCACCTTGCTCGGTGCCTGTATGAGCCTGCCACTCACAGCAAAATCGTGAGTGATGCTGTGCTCCAGCAAATCCCCTCTCGACTGATGTGCACCCACCCAGGGAAGGAGGGTAACCCAACCCTTGACTGGATCTGGCAGTGGCTCATACTTTATTACCTGCCTTCCCATCTGCTCACTGTTACATAAGCTGTGAAACGACAGAGGTTCAATGGAGCATGTGTAGGGAAATGTCATTACTACAAAAAACTCAATTAAATTTTAACTTCTCCAAGTGGAGGCAAAGTTCTGTGATAAAACTGGCCCAGCAGTGAGAGGGAAACACCACTGGTTCCCAAAGGCTTGCATAAGCAAGGAACTATTCCCAGGTCTCAATGGCCCAACAACTCAGTGTGGGCACGAACTGGCAGCGAGATATAGGTCATTGAAGTCCATCATTTTGGTATGGCTTGAAGCAGAGACTGCTTTCTGTAGTGCAAGCTGCCCACACGGCTGCAGCTTGGGCCTCTTGGCGCCAACAGCCCATGCTTATGTTGTGTATTTGGAAGTTGACATTGGGGTCCTGGCTTAGATGCACCCAAGAGCTGTACTGGTATGGGGGCTCCTGAGCTCTTCCCTATCGCGCTTATCTCCTCCTTCAGGAACCGTGGTTCTTGACTTTGAGATGACTGTGCTGAAGCATCTCCTGTACCCTGATGAGGCATCCCTGCCTGTGAAGTTGGGCATCATCTGGCTCTAGCTGCTGGTCCTACTGCTACTCCCTTTCTGCTCACCCTACACTGGCCTCAAGTCTCTCCTACAGTCCCGCTCCCAGAGCTCAAACAGCACTTCCATCCTCCTTTGTCCATCCAGCCCCAACCTCCCAGGAGCCTGCAAATACTTCCCTGTCCTGGGGTCTGCTCCTACACCACCATACAGGTCTGATGTATGGCTGCTCCCCTAAATCAGCTGGCTTTCAGAGATGCTCTGGGGCTTGCTGTGGCCACCTGGCCCCCAAACACCCTGGGGGCTGTGGGGTACCCCCAGCTTTGCACCCATCTGCTGGTGGGTGCCCCATGGACCTTGTCCATCCAGGTTAGGGTTTATATGTGTACTTCGTCATCCGTGTGGATTTGCAAGTGCTCCACCCAAGGTGTGTTCCTGCTCCTGAGGGGTGCGGGCTGAGGAGCCCTGACCATCTCTGTGGGGTTAGGGTGGTTCTGATGCCCCATTGGCCTTCCTGGTGGACCCCTGCTTGGCATCCGCTGCCAATGCGATGGCACCCAGCACCCAGGTTTGATCATCCCCATGTGGGGCTACCCTGCTGTTGCCCCAATGAGGAGAAACCTTCAGCGGGGTCGCGCCCCCCAAAGCCCAGCCCGTGTGTGTGTGTGTGTGTGTGTGTGTGTGTGTGTGTGAGCCCCCCTCACCGAAGCTGAGGGCGACGGGCGGGAAGGCGGCGGGAGCGGCGGCGGTTGCGCCTTTAACGGCGGGCGGAGGAGGAGGCGGAGGAGGAGGAGGGCCGGGGCTGCGCTGGGTGACATCAGTGGGTTTGGCTCCGGGGCTCAATGGAAACTGGGTGAGCGCCGGGCTGTGCCGAGCACACGCCGGCTGGAGGGGACGGCGAGCGGGCGGGAGGCGGCAGGCAGCGCCGCGCCGCGCCGAGCCGAGCGAAGGAGGGACGCGCCGGGCACGGCCGCCACCAGCCCTCCCCAATCCTCCGTCATCCTCCCCGCCGCGGCCGCCTGGCCCCCTGACAGCCGGCGGAGCAGCATCCCCACACGGCCCCCTTCCCGTCAGGGTGGGTATGGGGGGCGCCCGCCCGCATCTTGGGGCGCAAACCCCGGGGGAAAGGCGGCCCCTCCGGCTCTTTGTGTGCGCGGAGGGAGGGGGAGGGGGCGGGGGAGGGGAGGGCAGGGCGCGATGCGCCGGGCCGGGGGGGCGGCGGGGGACAAAAGCCCCTTTGTGGGGGCGCGGGGAGGGGGTCGCCCCCTCCGCCACTGGCAGATTGGGGGGGGGGAAGGCTTCCCCCTCTTCCCTTTCTCCGCCTGCCGGGGCCCTGCCTGGCTGCCGGCGGGGCCGATCGGGGAGGGGGGTGCCGTGTGTTCTCGGCGGGGGACTGCGGGGGTCCCGGCAGGGGGCCTCCCCCCGGATGATTTAAACCCCCCACCCCTTCCGTTCACTGATGCTCCTTGTCTCCCTCCCCAACCCCCGTCTTTGCTTGTTTCGGGGGAGAAGGGGTGTCTGCGTTTGGGGGGAGGTTGTAGGGGTCGGCGTTTCGTCTTGTGGGGGCTCGGTACGGGCGGGGGTCGATGGCCGCGGCCGGGGCCGAGGTGGGGGGTATGAGGAGAAGTTCAGCGCCGTTCCCGGGGGTGGCAGCTTTTTGTTACCTACCCGGAAAAATAACAGCCCGGGTACGACTGTCTTCGCGTAGTGTTTTGCCTGTAGGGGGTGGGGGTGTAAGGGACATATTTTTTTTTTTGTGTCCCCCTCCCTCCCTGTTTTCCTGTTGCGGCTGTTTCTTTCTCAGATGTAGTCCAAATGCTCTGTGCATGGCGTTTCTTTTCTCCCCCCACCTTATTTGCTGCTCTCCTTATTGTAAGTGTGAAAGGGTCTGGAGGGGTTTGATGTTTTGCATTTCAATCAAAACGGTGTTTTTTTCTTTTTTACATCCCATTTTTAAGCCAGTTCAAATTACTGTTTTGCCAGCCTCTTCCTTTATTTCCTTCATATACCCAGCCCCCCCGCCAAAAAAAAAAAAAAAGGCCGTGTAAAGCCTCCATGGTCTATGAGCGAAGCAGCCCCCACTCCCCACACTTCCACTGAAAACCAGAGCAGTGCTGGGATCGGCAGCCTCCATTATGGAACCGTGGGTTTGGTTTTGCGTGGCCTTTGCTAGACAGGGCATCTTCTCATTCCTGACCCCCTCGGGTGGGACAGAGGTGGCCCTCCTGTTCCCCAGCCCCCTCCCCCCCGCCCAAGATGTTCCCTGCATCTTTGGTCGCCATCGTATCTGGCACAGCAGTGTGGTATCAACTCTTATCGTGTGTTTATATAATGGCCTTTGTGCCTGTACGTGGGTATTTTATATTATATAAAAGGGGCTGGTGCAAAATGGTGTGTGTGTGTAAGCACCGCTGACGGCTGGATAGTATTATTATTTTTCTGAGGCTGTGTAGTATTGGATATTCACGTATGCAAACGCTCATGCAGAGCACACACTCGCTTTGAGGTTGTATGTGTGTTAATCCCTTATGGAAAACTAAATGGTTTAACTAAATGATTGCCTTGCAGCCCCTGGGAATGCTGCCTTGGCTGTAGAGTGCAGGAAGGGTGGCAGGGCTGGGGGGGTTAAGCCTGCTGGGGGGTGGGTAGGAGGGATGTCTTAGATTTTACACATATAAATAATATATAGGGAGTAATATAAATGTCACATATAAGAATATATATTTTATATGTAAAATTTTCTTTATGACAGTAGACCTGAAGATCAGATTATAGGAGTGGAAGCTGTAGATGGTGGGGGTATGTGTGTGAAGTAGAAGCAAATATGATAGGTGTTTGAACTCCTGGAGCAGCTGTTGAGGGGGTGGGATGCGTGTCCTGCCCCATGACCACGAATCCAGGCTGTTGCTCCCTGGCTATCCTCCACCCAGGTTTTCTACGCACACTTGTATGTGTGTGCTGGGGGGGGGAGATAAGGCAAAATGACAGCTGTGCGAGACCATGATTTTTTTACTCCATTATCCTGCTTCCCGCTTCCACCCCTGCGCCCCAGAGCATTTTTTAGATTCCCCTTTGGAGCCTGTTGCTTAATCAGCTAGAAGGGCTGCTGCCTCCATGTGTGAGAAACTCTTCTTAACCTGGCTCCTGTCTGTCCCAGAAGGGTGGGACTGAATTTAGGCTTGGGGCTGTGGTGTTGCAGAGCAGTATCCACTGTGCCCTGGTGCAGAGGAGACCCCGCAGAGACCTATTGCCCAGTCTCTGCCGTGTGCTCGGTTGTGCTCGCCCCAGCTGGGAGTTGGACTCAAGTGGAAGTGTTCAGGGTTCACAGGCCTGGGTAAACACACCATGAAGGAAGGAGGTTCGAGAGCTGTCTTCTTGACAGTGGTGTGACAGGTTCCCGGGGACACAGACCTTTGATCGTTTATTGGAGTAGGAATGTAAGCAAGTCAGATGTATGTTAATGTGGTTATACAGAACAGCAGGCAGCGGATAAAAATCATGTCTGTTTGCTGTGCCCTCGCCCAGGTCCGCCTGCCTCCTGGTTTGGTTCCCAAGGCTCTGCCTACATTCCTTGTAGTAAGAAAGTCAGAAATAGCCACAGGGTTTTGTAGACTTTAGATGCACAGAAACCCACATGCATAAGTAAATACTAGGTGAGGAGACTCCACCTCTGAGTGTTTTGTGTGTGGTTTCTGATGACTGGAGCTCTGCTTTCAGGGTTCACAATGTCCCCTGAATGCCTTGATAGGATTATTTCCCTGTACATCTCTACAGTCCGTCCATTCTTCTTTCTGTAATCCCATCTCCTGGGGCAGGAGAAGCAGCTCTGGGTTTATAGTATGCCCAGAATCCTGTAGCTGGGATTATTTTTTTTGTACTTCTGTCTCACAAGGCCGTTCCTCCCTTCTTTCCTTCAGTGATGCTTCCTTCCCACCAAGCTCTCCAGCAAGGGAAAGTTCCTCTCACCCACTTGTGAAAACATGAATCATTCCTCACCTTTCCTGTCCCCAACAGGCTCTGTGTCTGCATTTTGTATGCTAATAATGTGGCATTGCATAAATTAGGACTGTGGCAAATCCCTCTAAAAGAAGACGCACTGGCTGTCTTAGGAAGAGATGTGGTTCCTAGAATAAGTTGGTGGCCATAAGAAGGGGCGAGGGAAAGTGGTCTGCTAAGGGTGAACTGCTGGAATTGTGTTTGGCAGAGGTGTTTAGCAGCAGAAGTTGAGGTTGGCAGGGAGAACAATCTCTGGCTGTGGTCCTTCCACCTAGTTGGTTTTCTGTGGAAGGTGAGGAGGCTAAGCCTGGGCATGTTGATGGGGTATATCAGGTCAAAGGGTTAGCTAATCACCTCAGGTAAAGGGATGAGGAAAGGCCCAAGCTGCTAAAAACAAACAGCCAGCACACCTAGGTAGGCAGCGGAGATGGAAAGGCTCACGTAGACCAAAGGAGGCTGTGATCCCATCAGCAGAAGCCTGTGGAGATAAGCAAGTGCTGTTCCTAGTCAGTGCCTTGAAGGGTTCAGTTCAGCAAGATGTCTCCTCCCTGTCCCTTGTGCCAGCCTCTGCCTACGAGTGATACAGTCTGTCTGTCTCTTGCAGCTCTTGAGTCCTATGCTTCACCACCACCGAGTGGTGGTTGGACTAGGGCTGGGCCAGAGAGCAACTTCTTCTCATAGGGTTTATTATGCCTGTCCTTTTTGGTGTCTCATGAGGTTACTTCTGTCCTGGTGCCAGGTACTGTAGGGTACAAGGAGCAGTACCTCTTTACAGTGGTGTGGCATGATCACCCACTGAAACCTTCTTAGAGGAGATTTCCTGATCCCCTCCTCAGTCTCTGAACAAAATGATGGGGAAGAGATTGAATTCTTCTTTCTAATAATGGGAACATGGAAAACATGCTTGAGAGGGTTGTGTTCCTGCAGCATTACTAGCTCATGCTGTCCCTGGATGTTCAGGAGATAGGAGAGGTGATAGAGGCCATGTAGAAAGTGATGTATTTCAAGATTTAAAACTGTACTCAGCCTCTGGGTGAAGTAGGGAGGTCTCTTCTGTAGTGTTACATGATTCACTTCCTGTTTCTGCTCTGACACTGTGCTTTCTGTGCTTCTTTTCTCAGCACGACTGAACCATGGAGCTTCGAGTAGGGAACAAATACCGGCTGGGCAGAAAGATTGGCAGCGGTTCATTTGGAGACATTTACCTAGGTGAGTGTGAGAGTCTGTCCTTCTACCTGCCAGGTTGTTTTTCTCAATTGCATCATTGTTTCGGGGTTGTTTTTCTTGCCTGTTGGTATTTGTGGGCACCATGTAAGGTTGGAGGGGGTGGAGAAGAGAAAAGATCTTCAAGGAATACTGCTAGTTGCTGCCTGTCTTCTGATGGCAAAGAAAGTGGGATGAGCTCAGCTTTGCCTTGCAGATGCTGGAGACATGGTGGTAGTTGATTAGACTGATTTAGATTTGGACTGTTTGGGACATATTTGACATATATGCTGCTCCAGCATTCTCACTTCCTTTTCTTGAGCTTGGGTGTGTGTGGGTATTAACTCTGTAAAGAGTGGGTGGTGGAAAGGGAGGGCATAGCTGTCACTTCAAGGGTAGAAGGAATAAAGTTTTGGGAAGATTAGCAGTGGAAAAAGTGATCTGGACCTTTAAGAGAGAGGTCAGAGACCAGGAGCTGTAAAACAGGTCGGAGAGCCTGGTGTGGTTGAACTCCTGGGCTTTAGATCTGTTAGATCTGTAATGGGATTTAGAGTTATTGTCTGGAATGACCTGAGCTGGGAGCTCAGTGGACGGAGCCCATGAGGCGCTGGGTTTCCTGTTACTGCAGCAGGTTACCTGGGTAGAAGTTCTTCCAAGCCAGTGTGCTGATGTGTGCTAATGTTCCCTGATGCTTTGCCTGCTCATGTTTTTATTGGCTCAAACCATGTGGGGCCAGAGTGGCGAGACTACCCAGTAGCCTGATCGATCCCTCCATGAGAGTTGGTGTGGCTTTACCTGTCATCTGGTTCTCCCCACTACCTTTTTGGTTGTAGTCCTGCAGGCCAGCAGAACAACTGCCCTCTCCCTTGGTGTCTGCAAACTTTGGGGACTTACGGGTGTGTCATGTGCTCCTTGACTGTTAATTTGCTTGGTTGAATTGTATTTTGCTTCCCAGTACATCCACCACTCCTCACTTTTGCTGCTCCTTCAGTTTTTCCTAGTTTGTCCATCTGCTGAGCAGCTTGGAGCCAACACTGCATTTGATGTGTGGCATTTCCAGTGCCTGGCAATGAAGGACTACCCTCCAGTGATCTGTAATGTGATGCCTCTGCATAGGCTTCTTTGGGTCTCCTTGGCTTCCCCCATCACCAACACTATCAGGTTGCAGAATTGGCCTTAGCACACTGTCAGCTATATTGTAGAAGATGTCTTCTAGGATCTCCAACATCTTCCCATCCCTCCCTGACTCCCTTTTGTTGAATACCTCTGGTTCAGATTACTTTTTCCTGTGCTTGTAAATCACCGTCTGTTTTCAACCTCTGGCTTTTACCTCCAGTTCCCTCTTGCTTTATTATTCTCTCTTGATTGGTGTTGGCAGCCTCTCTTGATTAAGTGTCCTGTGGGAATCATCAGTAACAGGCTTTGTTGCCACCTTTATCCAGAGCATGAACAAAGATGATAAATAATGGATCTGGGATCCCAATTCCACTGTGTGCTGCCTTACTGCTGCCTACTCCTGTACGCCACTCCTCTGTGACCCTCCAGCCAGTTAGTGTCTGATAGCCCAGACACAGCATTTTCCACCTATGGTAGTGCTTGAAGCCTTCCAGACCCTCTGTAGGACAGCATAAATTGCCAGGATCTTGCAAAACACCTGGGGGTACACGTGGGGTAAGGAAAGAGGTACTGAATGGAAAGGCCTGATCCTGTGTTCCTCTGCACCACGTAACAGGTCATCCACCTGTGCAGAGCAGGTGTGGAAAACAGGCTCTGGTGAGGGGATTGTGCCCACCTTGCCTGTAACCAAACAACATGAGAGGCAGAGGAAGCCCCAGTGCCCTAGTGTGGTGAGCACAGAGGGATTCAACCAAGTTACTTGAATGCAGTATCAAAGCCAATGATGTTCATTGAGGTGCAAGCCAGCGTGTTTTGAAGCAGTGATAGCGAGACTTCTTGGAGCCTGGGTGACTCCCCAGCCTGGAGGGATCGGGCATGTACTCTCTGATGGTGCGTCTGGAGGACGCTTGTGCTCATGCTGTACTCTCACAGCCTGCTCTGCAGACAGAAGGACTCATTCACGAGGACTTCTCTCCTGCACTAAATTCACCTCACAGTTCTCTCTCTTGATAATGGTGCGGAGACAGAGCAAGGACAGACAAGCCTTGTTTATCTCTGGAGATGAGCAGGGGCTGTATGGTTTATCCTCAGCTTCTCTCTTTCAGGATGTTACTACCTTCACCTGCTCTGTAACCAGTGGGTGCTGCGTGCTGTGCTCTTCGGGATTTGTTTTTGGTTTTTTTCTATCAGAAGGAAACTTGGATTTCTACATGGGTAGACACAAAGGATGGACTGTGTTACTGCTCAGCTGAGGCTTAAAGCACAATGCCTTCCTTCCACGCATACTTTGGGGGATAGATGTGCTGCAGGGATATTCTCCCTACATTGATTTGGGAGGGTGGGAAATGAGATCATGCTGCCGAGGGGTCTTGGCTAACCCATTTACCTCTAAAATTGCTCATTCAGAAGAGCAAAATCAGTTTGCAGAGGAATTGCCAATACTTTTAGGCTGTCGGAGGGAGGTGCTTTGTCAGAGGTGTTGGCCAAGAGGCAGGGCAGGGTAGCTGGACCTGGTAGGAATCGTCTGGCCGGGATGCACACTGGTGGTGAAGAGGAGCTGGGCAGACAAAGCATGCTGGGACCTGCGCTGGCTGGGGACAGTTCCTGGTGGCAGGCTCCTCCCTTGTTGGGAGGGGAGTGCCTTCCCTTTGTTTCCTGGCCTGTTAACTCTCTCTCGCCCTATCTGCCTTCTTCCATCTGTTCCCAGCCCTCCATTCTTCCCTCGACAGGCTGTCAAGAGGGGAGCGGGTGGTGGGGAGAGTGGGGGCCCCGGCCTGTTGCCACTGTGCACAGGGAGGGCGGTGTTTATTGTATCAAGCATGCAGTCAGGCTTCCACTCTGAAAAGATCCTGTTCAGCCGGTGACATCCTCTGTCCCCGGGGCCCCGTTTCAAAGAGCTCATGATGAATGAGTTGAATTTGTGCAGCCCCCACAGCGGAGCGAGACTGGGGGTGGATGTTAGGAATTATCCCCGATCCTACATACGTCTCTCAAGTGGCTGAAGCTTGCAGACTCTGCTGCATTTGTCTGAAACACGGTGCTTTCCAGTCTAGAAAGAGAGCAGAGAACTGTTGCTTTTGTACTTGTATCTTTAAGAAAAGATGGTGGTTAAAGCATGGAACAAAGGACCAGAGAGATTCCTGCCCTTGGATTCCCTCCTCACTTGTGGTGGTCTTGATCTGGGTGGATCTCTAGCAAAGAAATGGTAGAGGGAGCAACCTGTAGACACAGCGGGGTTTGGGGATGGAGCAAGCTTTAAGTGTTCAGTCAGAGAATAGCTCCTCAGTAGGTCTGATTGGTCCAGAGAAGGACCATGAAAATGGTTAGAAGGATGGAGCATGTCTCCTATGAGAAAAGGCTGAGAGAATTTGGATTGTTCAGCCTGAGAAGAGAAGGCTTCAAGGTGACCTAATTTTGTCCTTCCAGTACCTAAAGGGAGCCTACAAGAAGGATGAGGAGAGACTTTTTGCAAGACCATTTAGTGACAAGACAAGAGGGAATGGGTTTAAACTGAAAGAGAGCAGGTTTAGATTAGATACCAGGAAGAAATTCTTTACTGGGAGGGTGGTGTTGCAGTGGAACAGGTTGCCCAGAGAAGTTGTAGATGCCCCTTCCCTGGAAGTGTTCAGTGCCAGTTTGGATGGGGCTCTGAGCAGTCTGGTTTAATGAAAAGTGTCCCTGCTTATGGCAGGGGGGTTGGAACTAAATGACCCTTCCAACCCAAACCAGGCTATGATTCCACCTTTGTTTTTCTAGGCCACAGGGTTGTCTCCTCTTTTTTTTTTTTAAGTTTTTTTTAAGAGACTAACACCTGTGTTTGGGCTATGAAGAGTATGGGGCTGAGGGCCATCTGAGCACATATAAGCGGCATGTTCACATTTGAAGAATCTAAGTCTTCTTGATGCCTACCCCTGCTTTCCCTTTTCGAGCTTTATGTGCCCACAGATAACACTCCCCACCTGCAGACAGCCTAGTAGATGGATGCATCATCATCATCTTCCTAAACACCCATGGTTATGTAGAGATGAGAACTCATTCATGTTTCCACTGTTCAACTTCTGGGGTAGCATTCATTCAAAATGGTAATGCTGCCAAAAGTCAGAAAGACTCACCAATATTTGTGTGTCAGCAAATGGATTAGGAGAGGGAAAAATTTCCCCTGGGAAATGGACAAGCGAGCTGCTTCAGAGGATTTGGAGGAAAGTCTTCACAAAAGCAGGGGAAAGAGAAAGGAATGAGGGAAGGAAGGACTCTTACCTTTTTTGGGTGTCCTGGGTGTTTCCATGCTGACTGAGGGCCAGTGATTGAACACTAATTTAAAAGACAGATACTAGTCCCTTTTCCTGCTTTTTTCCTCCTTGCACTCCTGATGCTTATAAGAAGGGTCTTGTGGTGCAGTGAAGGAAATGTACAGACTTGTTTTTCTGGCCAGGAGTTTTTAAGTGGAAAATGGCAGCATCTTTTCAAAAGTAACCATTGGCTCTACCTCTGAGGATGGCTTTTTAGCTTTCCCTTCTGCTGAATCCTGTGTTAAAATCCTTATTAAATTAATCCTATTGCTCCTCTTTCCCCTCCCTTATAGCACCCTAAATAATTCCTCTCCCTCCTTAGTGTTTACAGCCTTCAAATATTTGCAGACTGTTGTCATGTCCCATTCTTCCTCCCCACCCTTCTTGGTTGTATCTCTTGTCTATGTTACATATTTAGCTCTTTTAATCTTTCTTAGTAAATCAATCCCTCTAGGCCCCAAACAGTTTTGTTGCTCTCTTACAAATTCCTAGCAGCTTGTCTGTCTCGACCCGGCGCTGTAGCATCTAGATTATGTCTTTTTGCTAACAGGCAGCTCTTGGCTAAATTTGTGTACAAGCCAGAACTCTTCAACAGGAGATCCTTAGGATCCAGGGGGAGAAGGGATCCAGTTGTGTGAACAATTCCTTTTTTTTCTTTTGGTCCCTGGCTCTAGAGGAGGTGTGGGAAAGAGGATAAATGGAGAGATTTATCTGCAGCTGTCCTTGTGGACTCTTAAAGTCTTATCACAGGGTTCAGGAGGCACAAATTAGCCAGACCTACTAAAACTAGCTATGGGATATCTACAAAACGTCACCTTTGACTCCAGCTCATGTTTGGCATGCGTGTTCTGGAGTAGTTTATTTTATGACAGTGTTCACAAGCTGCTCATGATCAGAGCAGCTCTCTGATTTGTGTTTGAGTGCAACTTCTAATAGTTCCAGATACGAGGAAGGGCTTGTCTGCGTGTGTGTGTGAGGCCGGCATGGCGGGAGGGGGAGAGAAGCAAAACTTGAGTGTCATTCCCGTGACCTGTGTACAGATATTCATTCTTTCCATTTTAGGATGATGTGAAACATCTGGAATCCTTTCAGCTATTATGAGGGAGAGAGCAGCCTGTTCCTTCTTTGACAGTGCACTTTGGGACCAGAGTGCTGGCTTTCACAGCTGGCAGCTCGGTTGTTTTTAGAGAGAAGTGTGTGGGGTGGTGGTTTAGTGTCGTCACAAAGTATCTAGCAATCCCTTCAACAGAGGTGTCTGGGCAGCTTAATTCAGGACTGGATTCAGTTTATTTCTTCACGCTTCTAATTTAGGATATAGCAAATGTTTCTGTGTTGGCAAAAGATAAAGGTATTATTGAAGCCCTCAGGAGAGGGAGAAGCTGGGGACTTAGAAATTGTCTGTATTGAGCAGGTCAGGGCTGTGGAGAAAACAGATAGCTGGGAATGTAAGTAATGTCTCCTCCTGAACTAATTGGCTCTGTTGAAATGATGTAACTGAGGTAACTAGTAATTTTGCTAGGGAAGAGATACTCTGTATCACTGCCTGGGGGTGACTTGCATTCAGGGTCTGGGTATATGATCAGGGGCAGCTACAACTTCCACTTAGCTTAGGTACTGTTGATACCTACAGATTGACCTCCCAAAGTCTGGTACTTTTTGAGATAACAAAGCAGTTAACATGTTGCAAGACTGTTGTTCTAGCCTGGGTTGTAGGGTCAGACTTGGTTTCCTGTTCACATGCCTTTCTCTGGCCTTGCGTTTGCAAATGGCAGCGCTGGAAACTCTCTATGAAGTGGCTGAATCTCATTTCTGTCACAGAGAATAAATTTCAGGGCAAATCATAAGGTTTTGGCATTTTTACAGGCCTTGTTAAAAGTGTTTAACTTCAGTGGAAGCTTGCGCAATCTTCATTTCACTTCTCATTTCTATGCAGGAGCCAATATTGCAACTGGTGAAGAGGTGGCCATCAAACTGGAATGTGTCAAAACCAAGCATCCCCAGCTCCACATTGAAAGCAAGTTCTACAAGATGATGCAGGGAGGAGGTGAGATGGGGAGGAGAAGATGGGGCCGGGGGAGTGGTTGAAGAAGGAAATTATTCTGGAGGGCCTTAGGAAAGAAATGATTTGATGTTACATATGATCTTCGCAGCAGGGGATGCAGTATCTAGTCTCTGTTCCGAGGGCTTAATCTTTCTCTTTCCCCAGTGGGTATCCCCTCCATTAAGTGGTGTGGAGCAGAGGGGGACTATAACGTGATGGTGATGGAGCTCTTGGGGCCCAGCCTGGAAGATCTCTTCAACTTCTGTTCCCGCAAATTTAGTCTCAAGACAGTTCTGCTCCTGGCAGACCAGATGGTGAGTTTCCTCTGAAGCACTTGTGCCTACTCTCCTTTTCCATGCCTTTTTTTTTTTCCCTCCCATCTCCTCTGCTTAAGAACTGCTATATCCCAAGCTTTCTTCATTTAGTGACAAGTGGCTGCCAGCTTTCCATTTCTTGAGGAAGTTGGGGGCCTGGAACCTAGGCACTGATGACTTTTCCCGATCTCCATCTCTCTTTCCTTCCCCTGCTGCTCACTCTGTGTTAGTGTTGCACACACAGATACTTTTGCTTGCATGATGAATGATTGGCATCACTACCTATCTCAACTGAGCTGCCCATGCCCTGTGTTTAAGACCCTTAGCTCTTGTGGATGGACCCCCTACCTTCCCAGCCTGTCTAAGTTTGAAAGCTGACAGCTGTCAATGCTGAAGCTCAAAGTTTTAGTCCATGCAGATTTGCTTCTCACCCTTCCTTGTGGGGTTAATGATGACCTCCCCAGAGTGAGGACTGGGCTGGTGTGCAGGATTGAATTCCATCTATAGATCCTGCAGCCTCCAAAGGGTGTCTTTTCCTTGGCTGTCATCTCTGATATTCTCTGTGAAATGTCCTTTTCCCTACTCTGACAGGTCAGTGTCCTGGACAGGGTACTATTTTTAGCAGATGCAGTTAAGGTAGGTTTTTTCTTGCTTGTCTCACAATTTATTTATTTATCCCCCACTCCAGATCAGCCGTATTGAGTACATTCATTCCAAGAACTTCATCCATCGGGATGTAAAGCCAGACAACTTCCTTATGGGCCTCGGCAAAAAAGGCAACCTAGTATACATCATTGATTTTGGTTTGGCCAAGAAGTACCGAGATGCCCGGACCCACCAGCACATCCCTTACCGGGAAAACAAGAATCTGACTGGCACAGCCCGTTATGCCTCTATCAACACTCACTTGGGAATTGGTGAGCCTGCTGTTTCCCCTTGGTGGGGCTTTCTAGGGGAGGTAGTGTGTTCCCAGAAGGAGGGAGTTGGGTTCTGTGCCTGATTCCGCTACTGACCTGCCTTGAGATGGTGGGCAAGTAACTTAAATGCTACACCTGTGTTACCCCTCCTGCCTTTGGTGGCACTTCAAGCTTCTGAAGACAGAAATTGTCTTACCAGTTTGTGTGTTTGTGCACTCACCGCTTAGTGCAGTGGGGCCCTGTTGAGCGTCAAGGCTGTGACCTCTGTGACTGCGGCTACTGAATCTGCCTTGCACAATTTTTGCAGGCTGATTAGATGTGTAAAGGAGACATTCACAGGCACTGCGCCTTTAGGAATGTGTGCAATTGAAACCTTTCTTGTTGACTCCCAAGCACCTTCATCAGTGATTATTCTGTAGCTGTCAGAGCTGGAGGATACAGGCCTGCTGCAATATGGTCCACCACTGAAGGTGGGGCCAGCCATTTGCTGAAAGTGTGCAGGAAGCTGGAATGAGGGAAGGCTTCCAGCTGGCTGGACATCCAGGTTTTGTGATTGAGAACTGGCTATCATGGTTCTTCAAAATACCTGTGTGTCTGTGAACCACACTACCCTGTTCACCACTGAGGCAGCTTTAGGGAGGTAGGGCTCTGCCCTCAGTGTCTATGGTTAGTACTGTGGTAATGAAACTAGGCTGGGAAAGCATGCTGAGAGCTCAGCCAGGTCTTACACTGGTGCTGACCATCATCCCAGGTTTTGTAAAAACCTTGACCAGGTTAGTGCCCACCGTGCTCAAACTTCCTGAAGTCACCCAAACTCTTGTCCTGGGAATCAGCCCCTGGTGGGTGTGAGGAACACAGTTGAAAACCTCTTGCAGTTTTCTCTTCTGTTCTCTGACCAAAAGCTTCTTTCCAGTGTTTGATCTCCTTCCTCTGCTAAATTTTTGCTAAACTTTGTTCTCAGTATGAGGCTTCCTTAGTTACCATACGGTCTGTTCTGAGCAGGCTGACTTGGTCCTGCTATTAACTGGCAAATCTGAGGAGCAGAAACACTGAAGCTGTCTTGCCTGTGAACCCAGGAAAATAGCTACTGTGTTTGCAGCTCAGTTTGTGTCTCTGGGAGACCTTCTTCTGAAATGTATAACCTGAGAATTTGAAAGTCAGAGCAAGGAACTCAAACCTTTTAAACTAGCAGCTTCCACAGGATTCCGTGACCTCATTTTTCCTGCACTCTCCCCTCTTGCAGATTTTCTCAGATATCTGGAGTCAATATTTGACCTGCAGAAAATAAAGTGGTTTCCCACTGTCTTCTTTGTTTAATACTATATAGCTGTAGATGGAAAATGCTTTATTTATATAAAAATGGGGAGTGTTGTGTGTTGAGAGTGGGCTGTGATCTCCTGACCTCCTCCATGCTGTAAAAATACTTCTTGTAGAGCTTTCCAAGTTGGTCTTCTGTATTTTGGCTTGACCTGCATATATATAACTGACTCTCCATTGAATTCTTAGTCAAGATTTCCACAGCCATGGAAACTGCCACAAGGAGACATGCACAAAATAATTATCACTACTCTGTCTGTTGATTCTTATGTGTGTGCCTGCTCTGCCTGAACTGATCACGAGAGGCTAAATGTCTGGCTGTGGTTTTCAAATGACTTCATTATTCATCCCACCCCAACTTAGCCCTTTGCTACTGGTGCTTGGCTTGTGTGTCAGGACGAACAAACAATGTCTAAACAGTAATCCTAGGGCAAATTGCATATGCCATGAGTCTGAGCACAGCCACCGCTCTCTTCATGCCCTTTGCTTCGGGAAAGTCTGGGTGTGAGTTACTTGGCACAACAGGTCTCAGATGTATTATCTCCACGTTGCAGATAGTTCCCCTGAACAGCATAAAGGTTACATGACTTGCCTGGAGGAAAGGGGATGAAGGTGCTGAGGTTTCAGCTGGAGTTCCTGTTTCTCAAGACCTCGCCACAGGGTATATGACAGACACATTTGTGAGTTAGCAGCATTGCCATGGGAACCATGACTCTGAAGTTTTTGACTTTTCAGAGACTAAACTCTCTGTCTTAATGTTACATTAACGCGCTCTAGGGAGAGGGAAGGAACCAGGTGCTGGGGTATTCATGTGACAGGAATAGCAAATGAATAAATGCCTTTATTTGAATGTGCAAGCTAAGGGTTGGACATTCCAATGTCTGGAGGAAACACATTCTTTTCCCAGTGACTGGGGAAAAAAGTAGGAGGCGAGATTGGGGAGGGTTTCCACAGCTGGAGACTTGCCGTTGGGGGAGTCACTGGTCTGTGCAGGCTTTGCTTCACACATTCCAGTCAATTTTCACATGCTCTAGGGATGAGAGTCCCCTGCACCCACTGTAGCTTGTAAAGTCTGAAATAGATGCCCAGGGTGCCCAGGAGACAGTCTTGGAAGAAGCCTGGTGGACTCTGTCTGGGTAACAGGAGGTGGGAGGTGGGGGACAGTGCCTTCCCAAGTGCGTGTCCTAGATGGCATCAGTGTAGGCTTTGCAGATCATAAAGTCCTCCTGCTCATCCTGCCCTCTGTCACCCATTCCAGATCTCTGTGTGTGTTTTTAAAGGCTGTTGCCATGCAGTGGGGAGAGAAAGGGGAACTGTAGTGCAACTTATGCAAGATCAGATCTGAGTATGTAGTGAGAAAAACATTGCTTGATTAAGCCTGCTTGCAGAGCTGGGCTGGCTCCAGGGAAGACAGCTAATTTCTAGGGAGTCCTGCATGGGAGCAGCATCACTTTAAACAGAATCAGAGTGGAGGGAAACACTCTCTGGACAGAGGGGCCAGAAGGCAGTTTAGGTTGCAAAGAAACATGTTTTGTCAGGAACTTTGTGTCCAAGACAACCAGTCCTCAGTCTTCCGTCTTTGCCCAAGCATGTCTTTTCCTGTCCTGCTACTCACCCCTGACTTGGCTTTTGAGGACCCTGCTTTGTGAAGGGAGTGAGGGTGTGGGCTGGCTCGGATCCTCACTGGGAGTGGGAGGAGGGAACTGGCAGGAGATTGCTTGCAGAGTGAGAGGTTGGGTTTGAGGGGTTGTGCTGGCTTGTGTGGGAAGATGACCTTGTGTTTCTATTGGAAGAGGTTTTGGGAGGGAGGGAGGAAAGGATGAGTGTCTTATGAAAAATACATTTTCATAAAATTGTCTTTCAAACCTCCCCCCGCCCTCGTTGTAGGAAAACTGAGAAGCTGAAATAAAATGGAGAGAGGAAGTATCACAGGTCATGACTGTAATCCAGCTTCTGGACTAACTTGCTCTGAACATGCGTTCACGTTACTTGTATTTCTCTTTCTCTTTTCAAACTGCAAAGTGAGATTTTTTTCTTCCTGCATCCCAGGGATGGTGTGAGTGTTAGTCACTGACTGTCAGACTTCTAAAGGTGGAAAGTAGTGATACTAAATAGTATTTCTTTGGTGCGTTGAGGTAAAGTTTTATTTCTAACTCTTTGCTATCTAATGTTATCTAGTATCCTAGGAATGTTGGTATATGAGGCCAGGGAAAAGAAATAATTAAACTTGGGAGCTGTGTAATAGTAACTGAAGATGAAACAAAGAAACGGGATGTAGGAACTGTTGTCCTTCACAATCATCCAAGATTTAAATCAGGATCTTGTAGTTAGGGTTACAGATGAAAGACTGCTACAATGTTTTGAGGTAGCTGCACATCTGTGACCCATCGTGTTGATACTTCAGGCCTGTCATAGATTTGAATCTCAGTGAAATTGTTTAAGTGGGCTACAATTGTCACAGTACGTGAGGTACTAAACATTGGGGCTGCAACGCAGTCAAACACTTATTCATTCGGAATTTTAATAATTAGGTGTTTTGCTTGCAGTTGTTTTTCCTTGATCATGTTGCTGTGTTAAGGCACAGTTAAGGTGTGTTTGCATGCATGTAATGGATACTAGTTAGCTTCCCAGTTTGGTTTTGTAACCCCTCTCATCACCTTCACTAAGGCCTTGTAGCATCTCCCAAAGACTTCAGGCTCCCTAATCTCAAGTCTTTAATTCAGGCCTTCCCCAAATCGCTAGGACTGTGCCCAGGCATATGTTCACAGAACATATCCTGTTCTGGATAGGGTTGGTGACTGTGCTCAAAACTGCTGTGCTTCACACAAGTAGAGGTGTGTTATTCAGCCTGCCCTAAGCAGTTTGGAGTTCAAGCGAGATTTTGGAGGCAAGATCCTGATTTATTCCTGAAAGGCTGATTTGCTTGTTCAGTAGGTTTCTCTGGTTCCTGCCCTGCCTTTCCTTACTCCTCTTGTCTAGAGCACTACCACGCTCTAGACAAGAACCCACAGTTAGACGCTTTAAAGCTACAGCATGGATAAGTCAAGGGCTGCCAGATTGCAGGACTGAGATTACCCTTGTCTCCTGTACTTTCAGGCCCTGGGTGTGCCTTCTGACTCCACATGCCTCCTGTCTAAGGATGTAGGTCATTACCAAATATTGTTCGGTTTTGTTTATTTGATATGCATGATGAGTAATTGCAGCCCTCTGAGAGTACACATATCCCAACCTGAGGCCAAATGCAAACTCAGTTTCTTTTCTCTGCTCCCTCCATAGCATCTAAGCATCTCCCAGACAATCATGTAATTATCCTTGGCAGTAGCCTGATAAGATAAGGACGTATTAGCCCCTTTAAAGTGGGAAACTTGAGGCAGTACGTTAGTGAGGTCAAAAAATGCTGTTATTTCTGCATGCTCAAAGTAAAACACTTTGGGGATCTGCAGGGCTGCTTTCTACTCTACTCCTGTCTTGGAATTTGGGGGGTTTTATGGTGTTTCATGTGCTTTGACCCAAAGGCTCTCTCCTCTCAGTTATGAAGGAATAAGACCCTTCTGCACCCCCTTTGCTTCCATTTTTTTTTTCCCCTCTCAGTAGTTTTAACTTGCCAAACAAGCCTCCAGTTCTCAAAACCACTAGGAGATTATGAGAGAGATGCAGAAAGAAGAAAGAACCGTGTTGACCCTCAGGAGCTGGACATCTGTATCTGTGACCTGCTACAAGCTACTCTTTTGTCAGGGTTTAGCTCAGCTAACAGAATAAGGGGTAGCTGTAATGATCTACTGGCCTTTGAATGGGGCAGGTGGTAGCATGTAACTGATACTGACAGTTAACCCACAGACCAACACATAATCTGCAGCATTTTCCAGGATGTAGCACTGAATCCAGCAAAATGTGCTGTAGTAGTGAATTAATCTAATAGGTGATTCTCTTTAGTCTTTCCTCTATCCCTGTGCTCTCCCTCAAGCCATATTTTGCCTGCCTGTTGTCTGTGTCAGTGGTTGTTCTACTCGAGATGTAAAGTACTTTTTCCAAAATGTTTATTTTATTTGGGAGGAAAACAAGGGCAAGAGCTTCTTGGCAAGATTTATAGATGAATTTGCAAGCATGTTGGAGGAGCTGGGAGGAGTTTCACAAGTTAACCAGTCAACATTTGCAGTTGTTGAGATTCTGCATCAAATCCATCTTGAGCTAGCTTGAAACTTAAAATGGCTTGGCCATTCCAGAGAACAAGTTCAATGTGAAAGGGTTTTTTTTTTTTTGTGAGGCAATTTTTTTTGTTCCATAAGTAAGCATCTAAAAGCAAGCCCTTGCAATAGCATATTAAGGGCAACCCTTGCTCTTAGTAGAGTTGGTAGTGCTGCCATTTACACAGTCATTTCCTATTTGGAGGGGAACCTTTTGTTCAAAGTATGCCCCTTTCCTCCACAGCTTGAAAAATGCCACCAAGCTGGAAAGACATCTTTGCACAGTATTACATGTTAGACTCCTCTAAACAATTAACAAAGTTGTTTACTACTAGAAGGGGTCCCTAGTTCCTTGTTTCTGCCCTGCCTAAAGAGTATCAGCAGTTTAATTAGAAGATGTGTTTGAAAGGGTTGTGTTGGGCTTACCTCTGTTAGACTTGTCTTTCTGTGACTACCTCTGTCATGACTAATCCCTGGGTTGAAGAATCATTCTGGGTGGAGAAGTGTAGGTGCCCTTCCTCTGGGACTGGGAAGAGCAAAGTAGGCAGTGTTGCTGCAGCACTTCTTGAGCTGTTAAATTCTTGTGTGAATTAAGGCTTGTCCAAGTGAGGAGGTAGTCAGAGTCATTAGTTATGAAGTGGGTGGGGCCATATGGGGAGAGGAGCACTTTAACTCTTGTAATATGACTGTCCTCACAGGAATTTGCACTAGAATGTCTTCTACAAGTTTGTCTATCCATAGAAATGTACCAAAGAAGAGAGAGGAGTGATTGTTCTGTTCTGTGTTTAGCACCAAAGCTATGTGATTGCCAGAGTACTTTTGATTGCTGCTCACTCCTTGCCCCTTTGTAACTTCTCACAGAACAAAGTCGCCGTGATGACCTGGAGAGCCTGGGTTATGTGCTCATGTATTTCAACCTGGGCTCGCTGCCCTGGCAGGGCCTCAAGGCTGCCACCAAGCGCCAAAAGTACGAGAGGATCAGCGAGAAAAAGATGTCAACGCCCATCGAGGTGCTCTGCAAAGGGTACCCTTGTAAGTGCTCTCGTCCTGATGGCTGTCTTGTCTGCTGCTTGGCTTGTTCACCTGCTGAAACCCCATGGAATCTTGAATCCTAAAGAGCAGTGCCCGGTACCCCAGACCAGGATGTGCTGCTGACACCAGTGATGAGAAGGATAACAGGTGGTACAGTTCTGGTTCAGAAGTGGGAAATGTGTTTTTGTGGAGAGTGAAACCTTATGTTAGTAAGGGCGTGAGAGTCCTGAGAGGGATAGAGGGATCTTTAGGACCTCAGTAGCAGTTTGGATGCAGGATGGACAATGAGCTGAGAAGGTACGCTGGTGATCCTGAGTTTTTACTGGTTAATGAAGAGTCCTAGAAATAGCCAGGCAATGAAGTGGCAATTGGAGTTCTTTGTAGGTAAACATGGGTAATATATGTGAGAACAGAGAGAAGTCTTGGTCCTCAAGACAAGAGGACACAATAGTAGACTCCGACTGACCAGTGCCGCTCATCAATGAGCTGTTGCAATTACAATAGGTGATTCTGTGAAAACAGAAATTTTGTGCACAGCAATTTTGTGCAAACAGTGTGCATAAGCCCATGGCCTATTTGCACTTTGCGTGCACTGTGTAGCTCTGGTCCATCCCGGATGTGGTAGAACTGGAAACCGGTCCAGGAAAGGGCCAAAAGGGTAACCGAAGTGAGGTGATTTCTACACAAGTAACAAGTTTGCTGGAACCTGGAAAAGAGGTGATTTGAGAGATGATAGAAATCTATGCACTCGCTATGCCTGCAGAAGTCTGAGTGGGAGACAATTATTTGGTGGCCCCAGCTTTTGTATTGGAAGAGAAACAAAGCTGGTTTCTGCTAGCTTCAAAACAAAATGATGCAGTTCTTCACACAGCCAGTAGTAGACTGTAATAGTAGTATTGGAACTCATTCCCAGAAGTTGGTGTGGGTACTTAAAGCTTACTGGAGTTCAAGGAGAGATGGGGCAAGTACATGGAAGAGAGACTCGTGGAGAGTTACTAAATAGTCAGAAACCACATCCAGATCAGGAAGTTCCTGGAGCTGAAAGTAGGTGGGAGCTGGGCTAATGTTAATAGAAGTGTCAGACATGCTTGCCTCACGCTTTCTCCTCTGTAGCTGTCTACTTCTGGCTACTGCTTAAGATAGACTACCGAACTAGGAGGACTTCTGATTTGAGCTGAAATTCCCAAAGCTCACCTCTACCTCTTCTTTAGGCCTGCATTCTTACTGTCCTTCAGCAGGCTCTGCAGGACTTGCTAAGTCTTGCTTGGAGAAACCGACAAAGATGCGTGAGCATTTTCTGTGGTAAAAATAGGGATGGGGTTTTCTTAGTGGCCGAAGCGCTGCAACCAAACCAGCAGGCTCAGTTTTTGTTATACAGCTCTGTGTGTGTGCTGTCCTGGTCCAGCAAGCCACTGCTGAAATGCTGCAGTGGCTCCATGGCAGGGCATGGGAGGTTGGATGGTGTTCAACAGCCAGCTGTTCTCTGCTCTCTCCAGCTGAGTTCTCAACATACCTCAACTTCTGCCGTTCGCTGAGGTTTGATGATAAACCTGACTACTCATACCTGCGGCAACTCTTCCGCAACCTCTTCCACCGCCAAGGCTTCTCCTACGACTACGTCTTTGACTGGAACATGCTTAAATTTGTGAGTGTGTGTGGCAAAAGGGCTGGAGAGGAGTTGTTTTTTATCATGGGGAGGGGAAGGAAAGTTGGAAACTGCCTGCTGTTTGTACTTAGCCCCGGTGAACAGCTTGACAAAGGGGACGGGTAGAGTGAAGAGAGGCAGAGTTACTTGGTGCAAACTGGGGGTATAGTTACTGTTGTATTAGTGAGTATGTCTGATCTGTGGCTATAGGTAGGTAGAGATAATTTTTCAGGAGAGGACTATAATTGGAGGTGGGACAGTGGATTCCAGTAACAGCTGTAGTACCATATGCTTTCTTCCCTGTTTCTTCATGGAACAGAATGAGGTCCTCTCTTGGTGCAGTGGAAGATAGTGGGGGGAGACCATGTTTTGGGGATGGAGCTCCACTTCCTTGGCACGATGGAATACCATGTGTTTTCTGTCCGGGGCTGTTGCTATCTCTCCTGCCTGACAGCCATGTGTGGTGTGGGGGTTTCTCTCCTCAGGGAGCAGCCCGGAACCCTGAGGATATGGATCGGGAGCGGCGAGAGCATGAACGAGAGGAGAGGATGGGGCAACTCCGAGGGTCAGCCACACGAGCACTGCCCCCTGGCCCGCCTGCTGGAGCCACTGCCAACCGTCTTCGCAATGTCACTGAGCCCATGGCCTCCACCCCCACCTCCCGAATCCAGCAGTCCGGTGAGTGGGATGGGAGAGCTTGGGGAGGGTTCCACCCCTGCTGTCGGCTAGAAACCAAAATCATTGACTGATATTCTTGCCTCGATGGTTCTCTGCCCTGACAGGCAACACGTCCCCCAGAGCAATCTCAAGAGTGGACAGGGAGCGGAAGGTCAGCATGAGGTTACACCGAGGAGCTCCTGCCAACGTCTCCTCATCTGACCTCACAGGGCGGCAAGAAGTGTCACGGATTTCAGCATCACAGGTGAGTCCCTGCTGCCATGTTCATGGCCTTGGACTGGATATTCCAGAAGTACTATGGGTCCCAGAGTAGTTTTTGGCTGATCTGTTGGAGCTGACATGAGCCTGAAGCTTCTAGTATGGTGAGGGGAGTGGTACGAAGTTACACCTTCACTCTTCAGTTACATATTTTCTGGAGGTCATGCTCAGTACTGTCATATTAGCTCTGCTTTGCTTGGAGTAAGACTTTGTCTGGTTCTCTTCCAGACCACAGTGGTTTGGAGGAGTGGAATAGTAAACTCTTGGGAGGAAGGATGTCCTGAAAGAAACGTGCAGCCTCTCTGTTTTGGTGTCTTCTTTTTCCTCTCCAACCCTTAGCAACTCTTTTTCTTTTGTAGACAAGTGTGCCATTTGATCACCTTGGGAAGTGAGGAGCAATTGCCACTGGACCAGTGTTTGCTTAGGTGAGCCTGTCCTATGCCTGGGAACCCCCAAGGGTGAAATTGCTGGGAAAAAAAAGCCTTAGGTTAAGACTTTGCTGATGTTGTGGGGGATTGGTACATTTCCTTTCCTTTCATCTTACTTTGAGATGTTTTTGGCTTCAGAGGGAAGAGTAAGGTTGGCTGCCAAAACCTTGAGGGGATGGATTGTGTTTAAGTGTGAAGGTAGCTTCCATTTCTCCAGGAGGGTAGGGAGGGTGGATAAGGTGCTGGGCTGGGGAGCCATTTTGTTAGTTCCTCATGAATGCTTTTCTGGCAGTGTGACAGTGTTGGGGAGGAGGGTGCTGAGCATGTAATCAAGTGTGTGAGACTTTGCACAGCCAGTGAGTGCCTCTTGTAGAGGAAATGACAGTAGCTGGGCAAGGTAACTCCAAGGGGAGGCAGGAGTGTAGAAGAACGGGCTGATGTGATTTGTTATGCTCCAACTGGCATTGGAAGTGCTGGGAAGAATCTTTTCTCCTAATGTCTCTTCTCTCTTTTGAATTCTCTTTCTAGTGTCTTCACTGTATTTTTCTTTTAAAAAACAAAAAACCCAAAAAACAAATAAAAACTAAAAAAAAAAAAAAAAAAAAAAAAAAAAAAAAAAAAACACCAAAAAAAAAAACCCAACAGAATTTCTTTTTGCCAACGATGAGGAGTCGAGCTGTGCCCCCGCGCTGGTGTGAGCCGTTTCCGAGAGGGCCACCTGCGTCCCCCAGCGCGACGCCTCCGAGGAGCTGACAACGCGGGAGCCGTGCGGGGACACCTCCGCTGCCCCCCCAGCCCTGACCGCCGCCCCCACGGGCTACCCCCAGTTCCTTCTCCTGACTCTCTGCTCCTGGTTTTGATTTCTCTATTTTTTTTTTTCTTCTTGGGTATCTTCCCCTGCTTTTTTTTTTTTTTTTT